CGTTGTTTTGTAGATGGGTCATGGAAAGAAATTGATAAGTTTTCCGGCACAGGAAGGTTCTGTACATCATCTTATGGAGATGTTGTCTTCGCCAACCGACCATGGGAGTTGCCAACATTCGTAGAAGTATATCCCCCCTACATACAGAAGTCGAGACCCTTCTTTGGGAAATGAAAATGAAGTGTATGATCGGTGCAGACAATCAATATGTAGCTTTCTTTATAGACTGTTCTGACCTGGTGAAGATGGTGTCTTCGCCAACCGAATGACCGACATTTTCAATGTATATGGAGGAATTTAAGAGCGACAAGGATGAGTTTACAAACTTCTGTTTATCTTTAATTTTTTGTTGTGCAAATAAAAAGCGGATAATTTAGCATGGAAAGTTCGTACCAAACTATTTCATATCACATGTATAAACAATATTCTCCATGAATGGCTCTTTTGAGCTCTAAGTAATTTCGCATGACAAAAAAAAAAAAAATTCCGAGGATTGGTCTCTTTAACATAAAATAATTTAAAATGTTACGTCTTTGTATTATAATGTTTTGTTGAATACATTCATGTAATCATATTTATATATTTTTTAAAAACTGAAAAATTGCTTTTGTTCATTACAACTTTTCATTTAATATTTTTTATTTATGATCACATCTTTTCACTATAATGTTTTCTAAGAATAATATAAATCTTAATAAATGGTTTTGAGGGTTACGTCCGTTTATCAAAATTTTCATATAATATGTCTTGATTTATTGTTTTTTTTTTTTTTTAATTTGTCTATTTTCATTATAACTTTTCGTGTGATATATTTCTATTTTAAGATTTTTGAATTTTTTTTCTTCTGCTCACGAGAGTCCGTAGTCCGAGTATGCAAATTAAAATTTATAATATACGGTTTTATTATATGGTTCAACTAAATAACTAGATTAATCCAAATAAAAACTGTCAAATTCAGACGCTTTTAACTTTTAGGTTTTTCATTATTTTGTTTCCTTTTATAATGTGTTCTAAACCACCACTTATCTTCATAGCTGATTTGTGACTTTTAAAATGTTGAGTAATAAATAATTCACTACAAGAAAACATAGACTTTTCTTACCAAATTTCCTACCAAATATTTGGTAGGAATAATTTTCTACCAAATTCCTACGTATTTGTTACGAAATATATATTTCGTAGGAAATTCGAATGAAATTTCCTACGAAAAAAGGCGTGAGATGTTCGTAGGAAATTTCCTACGAAAATCCTACGAAAAAATATATCGTAGGAAATTTCGTAAAAAAATAGAATGAAACTGGTAGGAAAATATTGGTAGGAAATTCGAAGGTATATTTCCTTCCAGTTTCCTACGAACAGACCTTCGTAGGAAATAGCGTAGGAAATACGAAGGAAAGTTATGGAAAAATAATTTGTAGGAAATTCGAAGGTATATTTCCTTCCAGTTTCCTACGAACAGACCTTCGTATGAAATAGCGTAGGAAATGGGAAAGAAAGTTATGCAAAAATAATTGGTAGAAAATTCGTAGGATCAGCGAATATCTAATATTTATTATTAGATATTTTATATTATTTATAATTTTGATAATATTTATGTCAAATTATCTTGAATTGTAAATAACTAGATTTTAATCAGCGGTACACCGCGGATCGATTTTTTAACTAAAAAATTAAATTTTAAATTGTATTTTCTTAATATTGTTTATTTTGTTAAGTGTTTAAGATTATATAATTGTATTTTAACTGTTAATTTTAAGATTTCATCTGTGATATTAATACCGTCCCGTATTAATATCGATCCAAATCCGTCCCACTATATAACCATGTCCCGTGAAATTAAACATCATTTTGTTATTTTTAATAATACTTTATTTAATAGACATATAATTCGAGTTAATTTAAAAGTTTGATTTTATATATATTTTTAAATTTTAGTTAATAATAATTAATTATATATAATGATTTCTAAATTAATTATGTATGACTAACAGTCAAGATTGAAGATTAAAAACCGGGTTAAGATTTGAATGGCCACGATTAAATGTAGGGATTGTTGAGATTTTTTAAGGAAATCGAATTGAATATGGATGTAATTGTGTCAAGTATTAGTTACTACGTTGCATGGAAGCGCCGGTGGAGCTCCGATTCCCGCTTCGGAATCGGAATCGGAAACGGGAGCGGTAGGAAGCGCCAGGAATCGCAACGGAAGCGCGATTCTCAAAAAGGGCCGATTAGAATCGTTTTGGAATCGTCGATTCTGAGGTGGAAGCGTTTTGGATTCGTTTTGGATTCTGAGTTGGAATCGGCGGCCGTCAAGCTTCATATGGTTTTTAGCCTTGTTCAAAAACGTGGCCAAGGCGGCCGATTTCGCGGCGGCTAGTCGCTCGGCGGCAAGGCACCGCCGGGATTATGGTATAATCGGCTTAAAAATCGGAACTTTTGAAAAAACTTGATTTTTTGTTCTTTTGAAGGTTTTAATTCATATATAGTTGATGGTTCTAGCATATCTAGCAATAAACAATAGAAGAAACAAAAAGAAACGATGAAAAATGAAGAAAAAGTTAGGTGGCGGCGGATTTAGGGTTACAGATCTCGTTTTTCAAAGGTTGAAGACGAGGGTATTTTGGTCATTCACTATCAATTAAACCTAAAATAAACATAAATGTAACTACATCTACTCGAACTCGCCACCCGAAAATGAGGAAAAACGCTTTCTACCACTGGACCATCTAACATTATTAATTTCAATCCGCCAGAATAATATATATACAATATATAAGTAAAAAATATTAAAAACTAATCCTCGATTAATCCCCGCTTAATCTCCGATTTTTTGGCTAGGCGCTAGGCCCAGCTTGAGCGCCCGACTAACGCCTAGCGATTTTTTGAACAAGGTTTTTAGGGTTTTGTATCAAAGGTGGAAGACGAGTGAAACGCAACGTTTCACTAAAGGCAGATTTTTAAAAGAATTTTACTGGGCTTGACCCAAGTTTCTTATTTTTCGACAGCCCATTTGTTCAAACCACTAAAATTATAAAATTTACTTTTCTTATTATGTTTTAATTGTGATTCTGATTTGTAATTTATATACTTTAATCTTTTAATTTTTAGACCAATTCAACTAAAATATCAACAATCTATTATATGAATATATAAAGTATATAAAAATATATATATATATATATAATATTATATATATATATATATATATATATACGCTTCCAACACGTACCCGTTTCCTAATTTTTTTCAAAAACTCGCTTCTACGCTTCCAAACGCTTCCGCTTCCACGTACCCGCTTCCGATTCCATGCAGCTTAGATTAGTTATGCTTAATATATTAGGTTAAGATTTTTGGAAATGATTTTTTATGGTAATATCTTTGATTTAATTTTGAAAATCTAAATAATTAATGTCAATGGCATTTGATCGTAAATAAGTTGGAACTCCAGGATTTATTTCATAAATGTCTCCAAATATATATATATATATATATATATATATATAGATTATATATAATTACAATTAGCTAGGTAAACTATATGTTAAAGTTTTTTTAAAAAAATTATAATTTCAAATGTAATTTTTTTTTAATGTTTCTGTTATTTAAAAGTATTTTTTTTTTTAGTTTTTTTAACTAAATATATTTTTGTTATATTTAATTATAAATTATGTTATTAATCAATCATAGATATTGCCTAAACTATTTGAGCCCTTTCATTGGGCCTTAACAAATTAACGGGCCCAGCCCATCTTCCTCCTTTTGCCCAAAACGAACGAACCCTAGTCTTCTGCAGTCCTCTTCGGTCGTCTCCGTCTCTCCACCGTTCTTCACCAACCCTAGTCTTCGTCGGTCTTCTTCTCCTTCTTCAATCTTCTTCTCCGACAAGACTCGCAACTGTTCTTCTCCTTCTTGGGTCTTCTTCTCCGACTCGCTAACATCTTCTTCTTTTTCTTCTTCTCTTTGAATCTTTTATCTTCTCAGTTTTATTTTTCACGCAATCGGAGGCTTGAGGATCTGAGGAGTGTGAGAGCAACATAATCTTTGAAGTCGGCGGAATCGTTATTGCATGTAATCCGACTATTCTCTCTCTTCTACCTTTCTTCCTTCTTCGTGTTCTTCTTCTTCCTAATCGATTTATCCTCTGTTTCTCTGGTTCATCTACTAGCTCTCTCACTGATTCATTTCTGACAATTTCATCGACTTCCATGCTTGTAAGGCATAAAAGGTAACGGGATTTGATAAAGTTTGTTCCTTTTTAAGATTTTCGTTGTTTATTTGTTCGAATCTGAAGTTGGTTTGTGTGTTTTTGCTGGTTATTGAAACAGGATTTGTTGAAGACGAATCCTGTTCTTGAGAGAGTTGAACTTGTCTCTCCTCCACATCTATCATCCGCAGAGGCTCAATCTCCATTCAGACTTTAAGAATTTTCATGGCAGACCCGAGACAAACAATGTCGCCAAAGTCATGTCAAACCCATCAAACTTTCGTTTTACCCCACCGCTATATCCTCAATTCACGGTATATCTCTGTCGTCCTTGTCTTCAAGATTGTAGTGGGTTCTTGAATGATATATTTCCTCTCTAGTAGGTTCTTGAATGATATAAGATTATTTTGATGAGATTATCCTTGAATGGCTTGTTTGTGTGTGTTGTGTTCTTGTAACCTTAGTAGAAGAGTTTCTCTCTTGGCTCTGTTTCTGTTAAACACATAATTTTAGATTCCTCTATCATGTACTATTCGAGAGTCCAAATGTTAACTTTGTTAAGGTTTGGTTAAGGGTCTGGTTTTGTTCCTAATTTCTTAAGGTTTGGTTATATTCTTGATGTCTACGGGTCTGGTCTTGTTCATAATTTCTTATGCGTTTGGTTCTGTTCCTGACTCATTTCTAAGAGTCTGGTCTTGTTTCTTAAGGATTTGCTATGTTCAGCTTCAAATTTTATTCCTTAATTCTTGTCTAATTCAAGTCTGTTTTTTTTCCAACATGTTTTAATCACTTTACTAGTTTCAGACTTCTTCAGTTCTTGTCCAATTCAAGTCTGTTTTTTTTTTTTTCAATTTTTAATCACTTTACTAGTTTCTGACTTCTTGAGTTCTTGCTTTTGTGGCACTTGATATTAGACTAAGGAGCCTAATATGATTCACTTCATGGAAGAAACTCATTTAAATAAGAAGACGCCCACAATTAGCGATTTGAAGACAAAACAGACGCCCACAATAAGAGGAAGTTAGAGCTGACAAATTCGCAACGCCAAGCTGAAGGAGATGACGAGGTTCAGTCTAACTCTTACACGGAAGAGGAGATTAACACTGTCATGCTGGAAGTAAGTTAAATTATGTTATAGTTTCCATTTTGTTTATGGTGTTCTTGTGTTCTCAAGAGTAGATGATTAGGTTTTAAATCTTTATATTAGAATGGATTGTACAATGAATTTTAATTTGTATGGAGTTTAATTTTATATTTAATTTTAAGTTTCTTTTGAATTTTAAATTTTATTTATTCATAAAACCAAAATTTGTAACAAATAAATATAAATAATTTTATTAAAATTGTCTTTAAAATTTCGAAGGATAATGGTAGGAATTTAGTAGGAGGTGTATCGTAGGAAACTGGTAAGATAATTTTGGTAGGTAATTAGTGAGAAATATTTCGTAGGAAAGTTGTAGGACTAATTAAATTTCCTACGAAAATTTGGTAGGTAATTAGTGAGAAATATTTCGTAGGAAAGTTGAGGGTTAATTAAATTTCCTACGAAAATTTGGAAGGAGAATGGTGAAATAGGCCCTACCAATTTCCTACGAAATTTCCTACGCGCTTTCCTACGAACCGGTTTCGTAGGAAATTTCTCACGAATTTCCTACCAAATTCTATTTCCTACGGGCGATTCCCTTCAAATATTTTTCGTAGGAAATTGGTAGGAAACGTCTGTTTCCTACTAATTTCTTACGATTTTGGCCGTAGGAAAACGCTGTATTTCTTGTAGTGATTGTTTATAATTAAAATTTGAATAGTAATATATGCAAAATTATTTTTGTTCTTTAAATTATATATGTATGATGCGATAATTCAATTTAATATGATTAAACAAAAATGAAAAATGAAAATGTGACTATAATGATTTATAATACTTAGTTATATTAATTTTTAATTAAATTTGATTGGTTATTAGATATAAATAATTAAAAGATGTCGCGCTCTGGAGCGTCCTCAACGTTCCAAACCACCCGGTGCCACGCTCGAAGCCTTCCTCAGCGCACCAAGAAGCACCGGTGGTGTGCCCATGCAGTTCCCAACCTGTTTTGATCCAAAAAGATGACACTCCAATTATTCCGAATTGAGAAAGCCCTAAACCGACTCTAGACGCCCTATAAATACTCATTCTTAAGACCCAGGGAAAAACTCTGGATGCCTCCAACAACAGAGCCTCATCCTTCGTCTCATATACTTCAAAAGCCACCTTTGAGAGATTTAAGATCTGATCACCTGATCATCATCCTTCATCGTTTTCTCGTAGTTTTTACATCTTTTCGGGGAAGATCTATTTTGTAACTCTTACGGAAGTACCTCTTAAACCCCTTTAATTTCTTGATTTCGTTTATTATGAGTACCGTTTCATCACACATACTTTCGTTTACTTTGATCATGCCTATGTAGTTTATTAGTGGGTTTAAGGGTGATTCAAAGGGGAATCCATGTTTGTCTAGTGTGAGTGGCGTTTTTAGGGTATTTTCTGTCTCTATTGTTATTTGTTCAAGCTTAATATAACGGTGTGAGAAAGTGTCATAAACTAGATCTAAATATTAGGAGAGTAGCCACATCAAAAGTGGAGTTTATAATACTGACCTAGACTTAAACTAACTGAGTTGATTCGTCGCCTGCCAATTGGTTGAGTCATGTTGCTTGGTGAACTTATCGAACTTGTCCAAAATATAGGATATCTACTTGCGACCGTGGCAAACGATAGTTAGGTCTTGGAGTTGTGGTAGATATAAAGCGATTTGTGCCACTGAAGTGGGCAAGTTGTAAAATCGTGATTCGTAGTTCAGAATACAGGCAGTGATAGATTTCCATTCCTTTTAATTTCCTGAATGAGCCTTACTAGTGAATCCCTTGTGAGATCTCTAACAGCCAACATTTTGTTTTATTTATTTATCTTGCTTATTTACTCGTTTATTTAAATTTCCTGCAACCCCCAAAACGACATTTAAATTTTTGTTCTAGTTATTTTATACTCTAATAAGATTCTTTTATGCAACAACACTCGGTGTGATTCGATCTTTAAATACTACATACGATTAGTTATGCACTTGCAACTTTCTTGTGGTCTTAAAGGTAAAATATTTGAAGTAAAAAAACCAGACACATCAACGAGCGACATCCGGCTGATTGAAAGGTACTTACGTTCCAACAAACAATCTCAAAGGCGCTATGAACGACATTCGACTAAATGAGCGATGGCTAAGGATCGACATACAGCCTTGAAGGCGCTATGAGAAACATTTGACAGACTAACAAGTACTTAAGGATCAACAAACAACTTTGGAGGTGTTATGAGCCACATTCAGCTGACTAAGAGATGCTTACGGGCTGATATGCATCCCTTGAGGCGCTATGGTAGACCTCAAGTTTACGGATAGGCGTTTTGGGTACTGATATACATATTAGGATATGGGGCTCCGAGGATTGCCATCAGACATTTTCGGGAGTGAGTGGTTAGGATGTTCAACCTAGTCTACAAAAATGGTTAGGATAACTTAGGACGACAAAAGGGTATCATCCTGAAGATTATTTAATGCTCTAGTCAGAAGGGACAACATGACTATAGAATGAATTGAAAAGATGGGATGACGAATTGGAGTTGAGAGTGAAAAGGAGAGTCCAAAGGTTCTTTCCCTAGAGTGCATATCTTGTAGAGAAAATGGGGTGGATGGAAGGGGAGGTCCTTCTAGGAAATGAAAGAACCAGATAGGAAGCATTATAGATAAAAAAATGATTCATCCCTGAATGTTGGGAAGAATTGAGTATTTATAGAGGTTACATGACTCTGGATATGTATATATCGGGTTGTAGAGCCTCGTAGGGTCGGGTCCTACTTAGCGTTATATAGGAGTAGATGGAAGGTGATTTCGGCTGGTTAAGTTCTCGACACGGTGCGAGTTCTTTAACACGTATAGTGTTCTCTGGTACGTTTGATGTAGACTAACTGAGAAGTACGACGAGTTTGTGAAAGACACGCAATCATCTAGGCGGGTCATCAGTCAATACATGAGTTTTCCTCTCCTAGAAGAATCGAGTGACCTCTTTTAAGTAGGCTTTGATGGAAAGTGTCGAGCATCTGTCGAATAGTGACTAGGAGTTTTCAGAGCTCATGAGTAACTTTTCGTAGGTAGTAGTTGTTGAAGAGTGAAGATTAGCTGTCGGAGCTAACGACTGACCTCCCATAAGTAATTGTTAGCATTGGTCTTCGAGAAGTAATTGCCGAAGAAGCATGATGAACATGCGAGATGCGTATTGTACTTCTAAATGGAGCTTCTCGTCATGTTGATTGTTGTCCAGAAGGGATCATGCTATGTCTAAGTTTCCTACCGTGATTCGTTAGTATTTGAAAGTTAAAATGAACCCCAACAGTGTATGTATTTGATTGAACTTGTGCATAAAATGAAATTTGAATAAATATTTTGGTTTACTAGGTAACCATTAAAAAAACAAGAAAAATTTACTCAGATGTTATAGAAAAGTATGTTTATTATTAGAATATCATATATCTTTTAAAAATTACAAATATGTTTTGAGCATTTGTGTAATTACAGTTAACACCCTTCATTAGTTTTTTTTTAATTAATAATTTTTAATTCGTTTTTAATTAAAAATAATAAATAAAAATTTGATTATCCATGTCATTAATCCACATCATCAATCTCACGCTCCTCAAACTCATTTTATTTCTCCTCTTCTCTTTTTTTGTATCCAAATCCAAGAAAAGCTTTTAGATCAAATAATCTGCAACTAACTTGGGTACAACATTGACAGAGATCTTCAAATTGCAGGATTGGTCTGGATCTTCCTAGACCTCACAACCACAACGTTTGCCATAGGGTCCCAAATCAAAAGCTTCGTAAGATCTACACGCAACCTCGCTCACGAAAAAAGTCATCAAAAATCAAAATCCAAATCAAAGAGATCTATGAAATTCTACATGATTCGTTACAGGTTTGAGTTGAAATCAAAAATAGCTACTCTTTTACTTTGATTTTATATGTCTCTCGTTTAATCTTCCTCTCAATCGATCTATTTGGAGATATTTCTACTTCTATCTATGTTTTGATTCATACGGTTTAGTCTTCCTCCTATGTATCCCTCAAACATATTTATACGTTTCTTAATTTGATTGTTGTTATTTGACCAATAAATTTCATATTGTCTTCTCCAAAAAATGTTGCTTTCCGATCTGTATTATAAATCAGCCGTAACGTGATGTAACTCAGCCGTAACGTGATGTAACTTAGCCGTAACGTGATGTAACTCAGCCGTAACATATAATTTACACAACCTTTCGTCTTCCCTGAATGATAACTCAGCCTTGACATGTAATTTACCGAACCTTTCGTCTTCCCTGAAGCATATAACTCAGGCGTAACATATAATTTACACACATCTTTCGTCTTCCCTGGAGAATATAACTCAGCCGTGACATGTAAATTTACCGAACCTTTCGTCTTCCCTTAAAAATATAACTCAGCCGTAATGTAATTTTACCAAACCTTTCGTCTTTCCTGGAACATATAACTCAGCCGTGACATGTAATTTTACCGAACCTTTCGTCTTTCCTTAAGCATATAACTCAGCCGTAATGTAATTTTACCGAACCTTTCGTCTTCCCTGGAATATATAACTCAGGTGTGACATGTAAATTGACCGAATCTTTCGTCTTCCCTTAAGCATATAACTCAGCCGTGACATGTAAATTTACCGCGAAACAATAAGAGACGCAACATTTTGTCTAACTTTATCATCGACCACCAACTTCACATGTTTTTCGTGCGTTGTTTTCGCATCTATCTGCCCAACTCTACACCCTCTTTCATCGGTGTTAAATACGTATTTGTGTTTCTATACCCACTTACCAGAAACAACAATTACCGGAACCGGATCAACCATATGGGGAGAAGGATGAAAGAAATTGAAGAAGAATGAGGAAGACGATGAGGAATTGGAAGTTCCGGTGGTGTGAAAAAATCAGGTGAAGAAGACGAATTGAAAAAATTTGGTCCTATTTTTTTGTCCTTCGATGATGATGACATGGAATGATGACATGAAATGTTGCATCCACGTCATTTTTTAATTGATGAAGTGGCAAGTAATCCACCAAACAAAAATGTAAATCAGCCTAATTAAACCAGCCATCAAACAAAACTTTAACTCAGTCGCAACATGAATACTATTACAGTAATTAAAAAACAAAAACACGGCAGCCAAATTCAGCCGTTTAATGTCGTAACTCAACCAAAAATCTTTAACTCAGCAGTAACGTTTGATAAGTCGGCCGTCATTGCATGTTATTCTAGTAATTAATCTTACGCTACTAAGTCAGCCGTAATGAGGCCAAGTTTTCCGTTAATCCAGCTCATTACGGCTGATTTATGACACTCGAACATAAATCAGCCGTAACATCATCCCATAAGTAAGCCGTCTTTGATAACTCAGCCAGCCGGAGAAAGTTAAGTCAGCCGTGTCGAAGCGATAACTCAGCCAAAAATTTGACAAATCAACCATCGGGTGAAAACTCAGCCGTAACTTAGGCTGGGTTATGCTCGAAAGTCAGCCATTTTCTCACAACTCAGACAGATTTCAGTAAGTCAGCCGTAACTCCAGGCTGGGTTATACTCGTAAGTCAGCCGTTTGCTCATAACTCGGCCATTTTTCTTAAATCAGCCGCAACATACCGTAACTCAGCCATCACTGCCGCTGTATCGCTTTACGGCTGAGTTCATTAATACACGTCAGCGATTTCTGACGTGACGACGCGGCTTTGCTGACGTGGCAATGACATTCTTTGTAATTACGTTTTTTCTGTAACGTTTAACAGGGGTATACTGGGTATAAAAAATATACCCGAAATATGATAGTAATAAAAAAAAGATCTGTATGTTTCTGGTCATTTCACATAATCTGTATAACATCTGAGTAACTTTCCCAAAGAACAAAAATGAAATGAATAAAAAGAACAATGTGGAATGCAGCAAACATTTTTTGAGGAATGAAAAGGAAAAGATGAGGAGAAAAAATATAATGTACCACTCTCATAAATGGTAACCAAATAATAATAATTTCTTAAAAGATATATTGAATAATTAATAAATAAAAAATCAATGAAAAACTATTAATATTAATTTTATATAACTAATTTATACTAGGACCGGACATGGACGTACGTCCGGGGTTATGATAACATAGTAATTTATGAGTTGAAAAATGCATGTCTTTAGGCTGTATATGTTTGTTTGAAAATCAAACTTCACATGACTATGCAAATGTGATTATATTGGAGAGATGATATTATTTTAAAATATGGTATGGTAAATTAAGGTAATATGTATTTAAAAGATGTATGTGTATAGTGTATGTATTTAAAAATAGTTGGAATCGAAAGGGAAAAAAAAGTAAGATGTATTATAGGTAATAGATAATAATAGATAATTATAAATTAATGTGATAATCCATCTAAAAATGTAGGGTTGACTTTGATACACTACCCCAACTATACCGTTTCTTCGGTATACACCCTAAACTTTTTGTCTCTTTTTTATACATCATAAATAATTTATTTCTCTATTAAAAATCACAAACTATACTTTCTCTTCTAATTGCAACATAGCGATTCTAAATTGTGATTAGATTTATCACAAACTATACTTTCTCTTCTAATTGCAACATAGCGATTCTAAATTGTGATTAGATTTACTAAACCGGTAATCGCGTTTAAAAAACCACGATTAGCTTAAGTGAACCCAAAACTACAATTTTTTTTTTTGCTGTAAAAAAAGGAGAACAAATGCCCCAAAAACCCATGATTTAAACCCATCTTCTTCTTCTACGTAACAAAAATCCCAAATCTTAGGGTTTCTCAACTTCATCACGAGAATAACTCGTTTCTCTTTTCCTATCAATTTCTCTGGTAAGGTCTTCTCTCTCTCTGGTTTCATAGCTTCTCTCTATCTTTTGTTTCATAGCTTCTCTCTTGCTGGTTTCGTAGGCTTAGTTTTTTTTTTTTCAGTTACGTAATCTACGGAAAAAAACATTGATGAGATACAACCCGACATTGATATGGAAGATGTTGATAACAATAGTAGTGAGGAAAACGAAGATGACAATAAAAAACAAAAAAAACAAAAAGGAAGGCAAGAAAAAGAAAAACGAGAGTAAAGCCGAAGATGAAGAGGATGGAATGGACCGGTTTGAGTTGGAAGTAGAAGATTCAGTAGGGAATTTCGTTGATGAGTTTTCTGTTGGCCGAAATGAAATTCCAGATAGTTCGGATGAAGAGGAAGATCCGATTGTTCTGCGAGATAGAAGAATCCGAAGGAGCAGAGTTGATAGATTATCTATAGGTCAATTGTTCTTCAATGGTGTTGAGTTTAAAGAGACTATAATTTAGTATGCTTTAAACACATGCAATAATGTGGTTCAAGGAAGATGGGAGAAGACAAAGCTTGAATTCAAGTGTGGTATTGTTGGTAAGTGTAAGTGGAGGGTGTATTGCTCTTATGATATATGAGCCGAGACAAATGTGGGGGGTAAATACGACATATAGAAAGCACAGTTGTACTCCGAATGGGAGATGCAAAATACTCAGAAGTCCTGTTAATGCAAGGCTTTTCATGGACAAGCTAAGAGTAAATCCTAAATTCATGCCTAAGGAAATTCAAAATCACATTAAAGATCACTGGAAGATAGTGAGTTCTAGGGGTCAATGCCAAAGCGCAAGGCTGCTAGCTCTGAAGTTACTTGAGAAGGAGTATGAAGAACAATTTACTCACATTCGCGGTTATGTGGAAGAGATTCTATCTACCAATCCGGGATCAACTGCCATTGTTGAAACTATCCCTAACTCTGCCGGTGAAGATGTTTTTAACCGCTTTTATGTGTGTTTTGAAATAATCTGCACACTTTGGAGGGGCTCTTGTCGACCAATCATCGGACTTGATGGTACGTTCTTGAAGACGGCAGTGAAAGGCGTGTTGTTGGCTGCAGTTGGTCATGATGCAAACAATCAAATTTATCCACTTGCTTGGGCTGTGGTACAATCTGAAACTGGGGATAACTGGCTATGGTTCCTCCAGCAACTCAAGGCTGATTTAAAACTTCAAGATGGAGAAGGATTTGTTTTGATCTCTGATAAATCGAAGGTATGTATCAACATTATGACTTCTCTATTTGTTGTGACTTTTCTTTCTACACGTATAATTGTAGTCATGGTTTTGCTCCTACTGTATATTCATAAGAAAAGTCAATGAGATAATGCATATGACGTTTATTCGTATTTGTAACTCCAATATTTTAATGATATTTAATATTCATTTTTTTTTGTATTTTTGCTAGTTTTTTTTCTCATTATCTTTGACAGTCCATGCCATTGTGATTAATAATTATTTTTCTATTTTCAGGGACTCATCAATTCTGTACAAAAAGAATTGCCTAAAGCTGAACATAGATTTTGTGTAAAACACATCATTGAGAACTTGAAGAACAAGCATCCAAAAAAAGATTTGATCAAACCATTGATATGGCAACTAGCTTGGAGCTACAACAAGACTGAGTTTAAAGAGAACCTCAACAAGGTGAAAGAGTATAGCATTGATGTCTACAATTTAGTGATGAAAAAGCAACCCGAGATGTGGTCAAGAGCTTTCTTTAAACTTGGAAGCAACTGTGAGGATGTTGATAACAACGCGAAGGAATCATTCAACTCATCAATTACGAAAGCAAGAGCTAAGGCAATGATTCCAATGCTGGACACAATTAGGAGGCAAGCTATGCATCGAATGGTGAAGAGGCATAACAAATCCAAGAATCATGAAGGAATGTTTACAGAGTATGTTGCCAAGATTCTCGCGAAAGAGAAGAAAGATGCAAGCAAGTGTGAAACAACTCCGGCAACTCATGGAGTTTATGAGGTTATGCTTTATGGGAATGATTATTCGGTGAACACGAAGAAAAGAACATGTACATGTGGTAAATGGCAAATCAATGGGATTCCATGTGAGCATGCCTATGGAGCAAAGATTGATTACGATATGAATGTTGAAAGTTATGTATCAGGATTTTTCAGCACTGATTTGTGGCGAGACAATTACGAGCAGTCCATACATAAAATGAGAGGGCCAAGATTCTGGATGACTTCTACGTATCGCTTGGTAACAGCACCACCAGAGCCTATACTACCTGGTAAGAAGAAAACAAATAGACAAAAGACATATCCAAGGATTAAAGGAAAACACGAGTCGGCGCAGAAAAAAACAATAAAAGAAACACTTGGAAGGAAAGGACGTATTGTACGTTGTTCGTCTTGCCGTGAAACTGGCCATAATGCAGCTGGGTGTAAGCAATATCCCAAGGAAAAGACGAAGAGACAAAGAACTACTGAGGTATGATCCAATTTTTCCTTCTATTACCTTTCTGGTTTATATAGTAATTCTTTGTATTTGTGTTTCTTTTTCAGGTTGTTTCATCATCGTCTCAAGTACCGGATACAATCTCTCTCACGCAACCATCACAAACAACCCCCGATTTGGTGATTTATGAGTGAAGTTTAAAAGTTCTATGAACGTGTACCTTTTAGTTTAGTTTTGCAAACATGAATGGTTTGTTTTAGAGTTTTTGTTTTGAAGTTTTTGTGATCTTGGTGATAGTTTTTATTTCTTGAAACAATGAGAATTCGTCAGCTATAAATTTAAATATTAGATTAATAGATTTATTTTATCTTGCAAAGAAACAACAAAAGAACAAGTTGAAGAAATTCTAAATAAAGGTGGGCATTTTTGATATGAAGAAGACGAAGATGGTGGTTAAGGTGGTTTTTTTTTTTTTAATTTTTTTTTACGGCAAAAAAGGGTAAATAAATTGTAGTTTTTGGGTTTACTTAAGCTAATCTTGGTTTTTGAAACGCAATTACCGGTTTAATAAATCTAATCACAATTTAGAATCGCTATGTTGCAATTAAAAGAGAAAATATAGTTTGTGATGTTTAATAGAGAAATAAATTTTTTATGGTGTATAAAAAAAAGATAAAAAGTTTAGGGTGTACACCGAAGAAGCGGTATAGTTGGGGTAGTGTATCAGAGTCAACCCAAAAAATGTAATATGCTATAAATAATTTAAGCATTTATAATTTAGTACCTTTGTTATTGGACATGTATAAATTTTAAAAGATCCAATAAACTGTAAATAACTAATTTTAGTTCGGCCGATTGAATTTTTTTTTTGTTTGGCCAAATTTTTAGTTAGCCCATATCGTTGAAATTTTTTTGTTTGAGAATAAGAGAAACATTTAATCAGCCATATAAACCTATAAAATAACACAGTACGTTGTTTGTATGTTTAAGAGTGTTATCAAACGACAAAGGAGATGCTCTATATGAGGCTCGCTCAAAACTTGCTCTTTATTGTAATCAGGATCAGAAATTCTAAGGTTGTATTGTTATCAAGACTAGAGGAATTACCCGGGCTACGCCTGGGCATGTTGCTTTATTTCCGGTAACTAAGTTTGAATGCGTAAATAGGTAACTCGTAGGTAATTAGTTATTTTTACTCTTAGAAGCCTCAAATTGTGTCCTTTAATTAGTTAACTTAGTTTTAATTTCTCTTGCAATTTTTTAGTATAAATGCAAATCAAATCATGTGATATATGCAATATTTTTACAAAAGTAACATATATATATATATATGGTTGTGTATCTATCTATAATCTTTTTCCTTGATAATTAATATTTACTAAATAATGTAATTTTTATTTTTATTCTTTAGTATTCTTTTGATTAGTTTTTTTCCGTTTATACACCTCCCATAAATTATTGTAGTCATCTCTTTCTATTTTAATAATTTAATTTATTTTCATAAAATACACTTTTCATTCTTTTGCAACATATGTCGTACTCTATTTCATTAATTAATTAATTTTTTACTACACCATATCAAGCCCCTTTTTGGTTTTGGTAGAATCATATATTACAAATTGTTACAAAATATCCCACAGCTTGCTTGTATAAGTTAGCATGAACGTGAAAAACCACCAAACTTACATCATTGGATTTAGAGGACTATTAAACAAAAAAAGGAGACATGGTATTTAACATGAAATAAAATGTCTTTATTTTTACTATAGTGGATAAAATAAAAGTGAATTTTTGGTGAGCAGATATAAAATGTTAAAAATACTTAATGTCATGAAGATGATTCATGGCATTAAGCATTGGATTTAGAGGACTATTAAACAAACAAAGGAGACCTGAGTATTTAATATGAAATAAAATGTCTTTATTTTTACTATAGTGGAGAAGATAAAGTGAATATTTGGTGGACAGATATAAAATGTGAAAAATGCTTAATGCCATGAAGATGATTTATTAACCTCTTCATCTCGCAAAAATGATGTGTGCATAGTATGACCAAAAAGCTTTTTTCCTCAATCATCCTCAACAATTTTATGAGACCTTTTTTCCTCTTGCCGTAAAATTTTGAAAGATCTTCTCCTTTGTGCTTAAAAGTGTGATTGTGGAGGAGTATAATAAAAAACTTCCAAGGTTGGTTAGATGAATACAAATTAGTAATAACATCTTCGTTTTTATCGTCTTTAACCTTGTTAGAATCACAACCCCAATCCCCCAAAACATGTGAATCAAAATCTACAATAAACATGTCTACAAATGTCTACAAATATCTACAAATGTCTTCAAACTAATAGACATTTAGCTATCAGTCTAAACCCAAATCAAAGCAGATTAAACAAATAGCAAAGGTTTAAAAGCCGAGAACCTCACGGCGGAAAAAGGTATAAAATTTTACGTAGAAGATTAAAAAAGACTGACCTTGTGTTCAGATCGGAATTCACTATGGAAGACGCCGTTTAAACCATGTGATTGATAATCAGAACCTCATTTAGTTAAACAAAAGTCTACTCACATCAAACGTACAGAAAAGAAACACGTGAAACACAATCTAGGTAGTAATATGGAAAAACAAAAAACCGAGAAAGCATCAACGGGATTAAAAAAAATGATGTAAACCCTAATATGAGAATCAAAGAGAATTGATGTACCTTTTTGAGTGAACCGTAGAACCATCATCTCACAGAACCAGCCACCAGCTCGATCAACGAGTTTCTTGTTCTTTTTTATGTATAACGTCACAACTCCTCTTCGTCATCGATTCGCTCGATACATGTTTAAATCTACCACAAACGAAACGAATAAGATAAAAGTCGAAGGGTTAGAATGTAGATTTGTGTTAAAAGTTATAAAGAACGAAATATGATTTGAAGGGAAAGGGATGAGACAAATAGATTGACCTATGAGGTAGAGCTTTCCCCTGAAAAGTGCTCATGCACACCTTCGGCAACCAACTTCTACATGAAACACCAATTGAACCCAATTTCAAGTTCTCGATACACCTACTCCAATGAAGTTTTAGAGTGAAAACTTAGGAGAAAGAAGGTTTGGAGGTGATCATGGTTGTATTACGGAGAGTAGATGTTATAGGGTTTGGGAAGAGAGGATGTCAATGAGATTGAAGTGTCCATTTAATCAAGGGGGAGTGGGAAATTAAGAAAATTTAATTGTAACGGTGGTGCTTAATTTCAGACGCTGGGAAGATGAAGGATTGGAGCTCGGCTTTCGTCAATGCCGATGTAAGTTATGTAGAAGAAGAAGAGTTTGTGGAGTGTTTTGCACTGGAGTTTGGCTAATAGTGTTTGGGCTTTTATTTATTTTTGAGGTAAAGTTTGACAGTTTAAGTTGAGCCTAGTAATAATAACAATTTAAGTTGAGTCTAGTAATAATAACAGTTTAAGTTGAGCCCAGTAATAATTAATGGCTTGTAATTAAATTTTAGGCGCCTTATTAGGTAGGTTTGAGCGATATTGTTTTAGATTTGATGCTGACGTGGCTTCCTCTTAGATATGTTTTATTTTGCTGATGTGGACACATGGAGAACCTTCAATTAGTCCCTTTTATTAGTAATAGATTTTTGTAGTTTATGTTTGGTAATTATATTGGCTCTTCCTTAATTGTCATAACATATGCTTTGGTTCTTATAAAAAATTTAATTTCATGAAAAAGGAAATTTATACATGTCAAATATAATAATTTAAAATTTGTTTTGTTGTAAAATATATTTGATCAATAATTAAAATTAATATGGTTTAGATTAAGGATTAAAATATAATTAGATGAAAACATGGATATTTTATTCATTTTTCTAATCAAAAGCATCTAGACGAGAATGGTTTTCAACCAAACAAACAAAACTTTAATCAAAAGCAGTTGGATGGATCATCCAGATGAACCACCAAAAATGGAAACGAACATCACTCAGATGGATTAGCTAGATAAATCATTTGGATCGAGCATTTAGATGTATATCCCAAATGAGCAAACGAACAACACCTAAAAGAATTTTTTTAACTATAAGAAACTCATAATGTTTTGTGATTAAGACCTGAGTAAAGTGGATTCAAAGCAATTCGACCACATCTATATGCACTTGCTAAACATATCTCACCTACATTAAAGTTACAATAAATTTTTATAATATAAATAGAAACCGATAACATCAGGAAAATCCATAAAAGAATACCTAACGAATATGTACGTACCTTCATGTTCAATTATCTCTCAGAAACTCAAAACAGTGAATACCGGATCTTCCTTAATCTTGTTATCATAACCTTTCTCTATCTAAAGTCATCTAATATAATTAGCATCCTCTCCAATCAAACGACAACACATTTGTTCGTTCCTACAATTTATTTTGTAGTAGCAAAAGAAACTACTAATGAAATAGACAATTACCTCAGTTTAATTATATAGCATTTTACAAAAGTTTAAAGCTTACTTGGGATCAAGTAGTGTGAAAGTAAGAATCTCAACACCATCCTCGAATTTGATTTTTGAAAAATCAACGAGTACTCCGCACACATTTATTAAATCATTTTTAATTTTATCAGCCAGAATTAAAATGAATTATGGTAATAAAAATACTAAAAAAGTAGTTGATAAATGTGTAGGTAAAAATAAGTTTACCTATGAGAATTTATTTTCTTACACATTGGTTTTTGATATCCAAAAATCCTTAAAGACGAAGAAATTGTGAACGGAAGGACGAGTGATTCGAGTCATGATTGTTTCTTCCCAAAACTTGATACATAATGTATGATTTATGTTTTTTTTTCAGTCCAGTTTGACGAATCACCTTGAAATTACTCAATCGAAACCATTCACCATCTATAATCTCGTTTGGTATATGAAGTCCATATACTAATCCCGGGATAGTGGCCTCAAATCTTGTTTTTCTAAAAAAATATATTTGTTGTTAGAAAGAATCGATTAAATAATATGATACCAATTAATTAGGTTAAGTTTAAGTAAGAAATTAAATTGATAGATAATATAATATACCTCTTCATCAGAAATAATCATTTTCCTCTTAAAGAAGCTACCTAAATTGCTATACCACGCACTGATAACTTTCACATGCAAAATCCAATTGCATCTTTTGATAATTAGAAATTTGCCAAAACTATGGAGATATTTTTAAAATGATTGTAAGGGAAGAAGATAAAGCATCCTTAAAAAAAGAAACAATGTTTCTCTGTATATGGAAATTGGGTTTTTTTTTGTGTGATAGTCTTTAGTACATATTTCTAATATATATATATATATATCTATTAATGCTCGTCAGTTATAAATAGATTAACATATATATATATATATATATATATATATATATATATATGGATATGGTAATATACTTATTTTAAATTATGTTCAAAGTTTATAAATATAATTCGCGAATTAAAATAAGATATACTCTAATACATTATTTTCGTGTTATATATATGGGTAGTGATAATTGTAAATATATTAACTTTTCCTTGCAAATTTTCCAATACATATGTAATAATGGTAAGTCATGTTATTTATATATTCACATTTTATTCCTACATATTATACATATATATGTTTAATGGAATCTAACATATTATGTTACGATTATGTTACTAAAGTATATAGTCTTAAATATAATCAATATAATATATATATATATATATATATATATATATATATTCGATATATCTTTAGTGATACTTGTAGATAATATAAAGTTTCTTTGTAATCTTTCATTCAATTTTGTTATTATTTTTTTTGTTCTATATAACCTACTCAAAACATTTTCAAATAAATTTATGAAAACAGTCGTTAATAGTGTTATATTTCTCTAGGTTAGTACCGTGTATTCATAGCCGTTTTACGGTTTTTAATGGCAGCATGCAAGAGAACAATGATTTATTGATATTGATTTAATCAGTTTTTTCGGGGTAAGTAAAAAGTTGAATCATTTTTTTGTTCAGATGCATAGAGAAAGAATGAGATTTTGAAAAATCCAAAGATACTCTAAACATACAGTCGCTATATTTATTAAAATAATATCTATTTAAAAAACTTCAATATAATGTCTTAACCTTACTATAATCTATAATAATTATGATTTAACGGTGAATATTACGACATAAACAAATATTATCATAAAATATTACCACATAGGGTAATAGAAACAATTAACAATTTCTTGCTCTATCCTCTAAAGCCTGATCAACATAAGATCGCACATCTTAATTATTGATAGTTTGAATTATACTATGACATTTAAAGTTGAATTGATTTAACATATACTTACATTTCACGAATTTCAGCCACTTCTATGATGTTTGGCTTTGGAATAACTTTAGGAATTGGTCCATGAGTACAAATCCTTACATTCTTCGAACCATCAAAGTAGCGATCAATTTCCCACCATCTAAGAACAGCCACAAGAACTCCTCCAGCAAATAAACGGTAGTTACGATCAAAATCTAAAACTTTTCTTTGCATAGCTATGCACTCCAACACACGTTCGTTGATACAATTTTTAAAAGTTGTTATAAATTAAAAAAATAAGTTAAATTTAATTATGTGATACTTGATTTGGTGAAAAAATAAACCCTAGCTAACTCTTTCTCTTTAGTCTTGAAAGATATTCTGAAACCACTAAGATCATGAGGATGGTTAGCCACATTCGTAAATGGACTAACATCAACACAGCCTCAACCAAATCTGTAAAAAAAAACCAAAAGCGTTATAAAAATTAATTCTAATTTAAATTAGCTTACGTGTATTTAAATATTATATATAAAATCTCTAATTCTTTATAGGATAAGATTATATGCCAATACATTGATGTTGATAGTATCATCGATGATCGAAGAGAAGGATGCAAATTGATAAATTTCATTATGAGGAAGAGGAAGGACATTGTTATCGATTGTAGATCTTAGGAAGTAAAAATCCACATTCATATCGACTAACACATAAAAACTGAAGCATACAATATCTTAGGCATAAATATTTTGCAATGATTTATGTTACCATAAATTACAGACTTAGCAATTCAATTCAATACATGATATAATTTATATGTAGTTCATATTCTCTAGCAATAAACGCAAACACAATCGGTATCTTCCACAAACTCTAAAACACAGAGATAGATCTGTTTTTTTAACATCAATAACTTTGACTATACCAAGTCATCACCATATTTTTGTCTTCCAAAAAATGATGATCTCGGATTACAAGAAGGTGGAGGTTGCATCTCCATAAGCATTCAAATATAAGATTCATCAACGAAGTTCAATAAGTAGACAAGATTTGTTTAAGTTGATATCTCTAATCACTATAGAACCATCAAAATCCTTACACAGAAAAAGAAAACAAGGTTCTATTTTGTTTACCTCAACAACAAACAAGAACATCTACCTCAACAACAAACAAGAACATCTATCTACAAACAGAAACACTAATGAAATATAAGAACTCACCTTGCCGTCAGGCTAGAAAATGTAATGAGAAGTTACCTTAGATCTACTTGAAGCACTAAAACGTCTAGACGTGATATGAAATTACTTGCGTTCATATCAACTAAACTTTGTTCCTCGACGAAGTCTTTGCGACCCTTCAATGTCTCAAGTTCTCTTCTTAAATTTCGGAGGGTGCAATCTACTTATTAAGTTCAGGAATCAAGAAAATTTAAAATAATTATTATAGAGCAAATAAACATTAAAACAACACAAACATTAATTAGATAAACATTCCCGAACTACAGCCGTCTTAAAACATTAATTAAAAGAAAAAAGAAAAAAAAAAGAAAATTAAAATCATCATCACAAACCAGAGTTCTTAAAGCATAATTAATTAAACATAACGAGAGATCATTGACATAATTCATATCACGTCTAGACGTTCTAGTGCTTGTGTCTTACAACATATATATATCACATTATATATGTGTGAGGAAAATAAAAAGAAAAAAGGGTTTCCAACGGACCTACAAATCATTGACCGTCCGAGTGAGATGAGATGTTTTCTTAATGACATCCGAGTTATCAACAACAGCAAGATTCATTATGGACAACCATTGACCATCTTTATAGCATTAGCATAATTATCTACAATTTCTTATTAATTACTGATTCGATCATCAAACCTTAAAAAATGTATAAAGATGAACACTACAATTAATATATTTTATACTTACAATAAAAAAAAGTATGTAATCTACAAAAATAATCTAATTTGAGTTTGTAATAAGAATAACTCTTCGTTTCCAAGAATCAAAATCAGATCCTTAGGAGGAAAACCAAGCTTCACCCTAAAAGATCGTAGGACCTTAACGCAAATATGCCAGTCGGTTATAGCCGGGTTTAGAATCGAAAGATTTTTTTTTCATAACTCTTGAGATTTTTTGTTTTTGTTAAACTCTTTAAAAAATGTTTGGACGACAAAATTTTTTCTAAATGATGGTCTATTTAACATGGAGAAGGATCGCAACTGTAGAAATTTAATTATTTTCTTTTATTTAAAATTACCAATTTTAAATGGTTGATATATAGAAAGATACGATTGTTCTCAGTATAAACTGTAAATCTGTTATTATTCGTGAATATCTTATTGTAAACATAATATATTTAAATGAATATTGGTTCCTATATATAGTCATTAGTATCATAGTTTATTGATTCAATATTATATGTTTTCTATGTTGATTTTGTTACTATTTTTATTATTTACTAACTACTTCGTTTCCAAAAACTTGAAAACCCTAATCTCTATTTTATATGATTGTTTAGAATAATCATTGGGTCAATAAATATATAATATATATTTTTTTTGTTAACTAAATTTGTATTCACATCCTTTAATTCCGATTACAGACTTTATTTTTTTTTTCTATTTGTAATCATTATTAAATAGAACTCAAAAGTTGTTGGCTTTTTTTACGTTATTAACTAGGCATAAATTTAAACATAGTTGCAGAACATTTAAATTGTTTTAAGAAGTTTCACCAACATAAACATAGCTAAATACAATACTTATATGTTGATGCTTCGTCTTGACATATGATGTGGTTAATGTGGTAACAACCAACGAATTTAGAGCTGCAAAATATGCAAATAATGTGTTTAATATATCTTGTTGCAATTTTCACATGCTATAAGTATGACATATGATTTATTCTTACATTGTTTTTTTTTATTCTTCAGTCAATATAGTTCAGGATCAAACCAAAACCTTGAATATCCATAATCGTTTACCAGAATTTGTTCACCTACAAACATTAAATCATTGACAAAAAAATTTGTCTCTTTATATATACTACCAATGGATTGTAAAATTTACACAAACCTTCACATGTAACAATCTTCCAAAACTTAAGCACACAAAAGACAAGTTATTTTTTTGTATTTCAAACCATATCCTTTATCATTCCATACTTGTACGAACTCATAGGGTATAAATCCAATTGCACGAGAGGTAATACGTTCCATCCTATAAATGCATTGTAAAATTTTAATGTCTAACTATAACTTTTACATCTTAAACCGCATTACCCGTACAATATTTAAAACTTACTTTTGATCCAGAAGTTTGAAATGCATAGAGCAATAACCATTACAACAAACTTCAAATTCAGGAAACTCATTTGGCGTTTGTAACTTGGATGAATTTAATGAATATTCCAAAAACATCTATATAAAAATAAACTAATATTTGTAAATTCGAAGCTAAAAACAATTTCGAAGTCAAATAAAATTATATACAAACAAAGTATAATCAATATTTTCAACTTATAGGTTAGAAAAAATATATTACCAACATGAAACTCCTTAGTTGCTAATCCACTCCGAATATAAACAAAATCTTCAAAGACAAAGTAGTTTTGAAGAGTAACATCTTAGATACATTCATACATCACATTTTTTGGAACAAACTTGGTACAATAGTGATGCTTTATGTTTATTCTGCTTTCTGCTCGAGCTCTCAGCACAAAATCACTTATCACATACCAACAACCCTCTTCAATGTATTTAGGAATTTCATTCTTATAGTATCCAAAAGGAATACAACCTTCAATTTTATCACCTTGTTTTTACAAAAAAGTTTAACACAAAATAACAAAGATTTAACAACTTGCTTTAATATAATAGATATATAAATATTAAAATCCGATATTTATGTTATTCATCAACTTACAAATATGGAAAAACTAAATTGTTATAAGTAATTCTTTTAAATATCTTCGCATGCACCACCATATTCCTGAAATCGGGATGTTACAATTCACCCCCACTAACATATCACAACGTCCTCGTTGCATACCAAAATCATCACTTCCGTTAGCGTGAGCTTTTTTTACTTCACACTCGCCTGGGTTCGACTGTGATATCATTTTTCATGTCTGTCTCCCTCAATTTTGAACCTACAAAATGGACTTCAATCTTCTCACCAGATTCCTATCAAAACAAGGCTAACAATTGTTGGTCCATTCGAAGAAGTAAAAGGAAAACAGAAATAAGACAGAGAGTTAACACACCTCATGCATTTGTACCCCTCTCTCAAAGGAAATCCTCAATGTGTTTGGAAGGAACTGCACAGTTAATTGCCAACTATCAGAACCGGTTTAGTATCAACAATAAGAAATGGTTTTGGTGCCACCAAGGTTTACCTTCAGAGGTTCAAATGGGTATTGCTTCGCGATAGCATCAAGTTGGTTTGCACAGCTCTGGTTCACTTGCATGAAAATATCAGCGAACAACCCGTCTACAAGATCCATAACCTTGCACCAAACAAACGACAAGGAATATCATCAGCAACATAGGCAAAAGATGAGGAGTGAAATAAAGTTGTTATCTCAGCAACTCAAACCTTACCTCATTGTAGTGGTACTTGAGCTCCATCTCGACATTAAGAGTCACAAACTCAGTGAGATGACGGTTTGTGGACGACCTTTCAGAACGGAAGTATGTCCCAATGTCGAACACTTTGGTGAATCCGCTGGAAATTGCCATTTGCTTGTGGAGCTGAGCCGATTGAGCTAGTGATGCATCCTTTCCAATGTAATCAAGGCAGAAAACCGATGCTCCTCCGTTAATCTTTCTAGCCAGCAGCTTAGGAGTGTGTATGGAATCGAATTCAAGTGCCAGGAGATACTGTCTGAAAAACTACACAGAAGGAGAGGAAGACAGGTTAGTAAATACGTGCATATAACAAGTCAAATGAAAACAGACAAACCATCTTACGTTTTCAATGTGCGATCTGACTCTAAAGATCGCTTGATTAGCCGGTGTTCTGAGATCAAGCACCCTATTATTCAGACGTGTATCTAGACTAACATGAGGAGTTCTTCTTTCACCCTGCAATAATCAGAGAGAACCATTATGAGTACTACCATGAAAGTTACAACAAATTCTGTAAGAACATTATATAACTTACACTAGCGTCTTGTTCATCTTCTTCTTTTTGAGAAGCAGCGTCCACATCAAGTAGTAATTGTGTCAAGGCTTTGCTGATGCAGAACACTTTTCTCACATAAATTTCAACCTGCAAATTAAACAATTACTAACCAAAATCTATCACAGACAACTATCACAAACATCTATCAATCTAGACATGTGAGCAAAACCTGCTGGGTTGTTCCTTTGATAGCAGATTTCGGGTCCTGACAATACCCAACACAGCTACGAAAGATTCCTGACTCAGACTTTTCAGATTTTTTTTTGAAATTGGAACCTACTTTGTTCTCCTCTTATGTCGTCGCCACACACTGACCGAGTACCCCTTCTCTCTCAAGACAAGAAACCCTAGTTTGTTGGACTTTCCCTGGTACTTATGCACTCTCCCCGTCAATAATACCTCAGAGTCCTTCATGTCCTGTCCAAGAGAGGACACTGCAACCACCGTTCTTCCATCTACGGCCTTCCTCCACTTTCCACCTTCTTCAACAGTCAACAGTCGTGGACTGTGTCTCCCACAGATCCACATAACCATACTTCCCAGCATACTCTTCGTCCTCATCCACCAGAGATCCACCGGCCATCAACTTTTCTCGCCAGACATTGGTTAGATCGGAGACGATACTCTCTTCGTATTCTTTCTTGTTTTTTTTTTTTTTTGTCGATTCTTTTTTTTTTTTTTCTAAACCCTAGATCTCTCAATTTTTACTCAATAACTATTTAAAAAACCCAAATTTTACCTTATTTTAAATAAATAATACCTTTTTAAGCCAAATTTTAAATAAATAATACATTTTTTTCTTTCTTTATAACTTGTTCCGAATTCGGTTTTAGACATTCTGTCAAATTAAACCGATAATTTACAATATATATTCGGTTAATTTCAGAGAGTTCAACCGATCAGTTGGGTCGGATTTACTGAAACATGTTCTGTGGGTTGATCATGATTTCAATGGTGTTAACATATCAAAGATATGTTATTTTCGGTTTTATACATTTTATCGAATTGAGTGGAGGATTGGTTGAGCTGTACATGTAGACTTATTATTGTAAGATTTTTGATGTATCTCTATCGACTATAGCTGTAAACAAAAATAATTATTTTTATTTTATTATTATTTTATAGTTTTAGTTTAGAAAGTTGTCTTCTAGTGTAACTTTTCGTTGATATATTTTTATTAAAGGTTAAATAAGATTTTAATTTATAAATGTTTTATTATAAATTTGCGACTCAAATTAAACAATAAAAATATTAATATTAAATCTTAAAATAATTATTCTTTTCATAAATTTTTTTCTTTCTTTTTAAATAGTTCATGTTGTACCAAGAAAAACATTTCTACTAATAGATTTAAAAATAATTACGTCCATCTAACCCAGCAAATTCGGTTTATCGGGTCCTTTATTAGGAAACTAGATCTTATGTCGAAAGTAACCGAAATCAATTACCTTTCGGAATTTGGTTTTAGACATTCTGTCGAATTGAACCGATAATTTACAATAAAATTCGGTTAATTTCGGGAAGTTCAACCGATCAGTTAAGTCGGGTTTTTCTGAAACATGTTTGACATTATTTTTTATTGTTCAAGGTTTTGTGGGTTGATCATGATTTCAATGGTGTTAGAATGTCATAAACATGTTTTAGAAATTGGATGAAGAGATAATACATTATGTACGGCGACAATGTATTTTTATTTGTTGCTTTCGTTCTTGTGTTTACTCTATTGTGTTCATTGACATAAAAAAAATGTTATTTTTGGTTTTATACATTTTGTTGAATTGAGTGGGCGATTAGTTGAGCTTTACCTTAGATTTATTGTTGTAAGATTTTTGCTATATCTGTATTTTCTAGTTGTAGAATTATTTTTTCAATTTTAATTGTATTATTATTTAATAGGTTTAGTTTAAAAAATTGTCATTTCGTGTAACTTTTCGTTAATACATTTTTATTAAGGGTTAAATAAAATTTCAATTTATAAATGTTTTATTAAAAATTAACGACTCAAAACTATATAAAAAAAATATTAAATCATAATATAATTTGTTTTATTATACATTTTTTTAGCAGGTTCATGTTGTATCAATAAAAACAGTTCTACTAATAGTTTTAGATATACTTACGTCCATCTAGCCCTGTAAATTTGGTTTATTGGGTACGTCATTTTGGAAACTGTGTTTTATGTTGAAAGTAACTGAAATCAATTACGGTTCAAACTTCGGTTTTATATATTTTGTGGAATTGAACCACTAATTTACAATAAAATTCGTTGAATTTTGGGAAGTTCAACCGATCAGTTGAGTCCGCTTCTTTTGAAACATGTTTGACGATTATATTTTATTGTTCAAGTTTTCGTGGGTTGATCATGATTTCAGTGGTGTTAAAATATTAAAACAATATTTTAGACATTGGATGAAGAGAGATTACATTACGTACGGCGGAAATGTATTTTTCTTTGTTGCTTTCGTTTTTGTATTAGTTATGTTGTGTTCATTGACGTAAAAAAGTGTTATTTTCGGTTTTATACATTTTGTCGAATTGAGTGGGTGATTGGTTGAGTTGTACCTGTAGATTTATTGTTGTAAGATTTTTGTTGTATTTGTGTTAACTGTAGAATTTTCTTTAATTTAAACTTTATTATTATTTAATAGTTTTTGTTTAGAAATTTGTCTTTTAGTGTAACTATTCATTGATGCATTTTTATTAAAAGTTAAATAAGATTTCAATTTTGTAAATGTTAGATTATAAAGTTGCGACTCAAAACTATAAAAAAACTAATACTAATTCTTAAAATAATAAAAAAATTTATACATTTTTTTCTTTCTTTTTAACTGGTTCGTGTTGTACCACTAAAAATAGTTCTACTAATAGTTTTAAAATACTTAAGTCCATCTAGTCCTGCAAAATCGGTTTATCGGGTCCGTTATTTTGAAAGCTGGATTTTATGTCGAAAGTAAATGAAATCAATTGATGAAAAAAAAAGTAAATGAAATCAATTACGATTCGGAATTCGGTTTTATACATTTTGTCGAATTGAACCGATAATTTGCAATTAAATTCGGTTAATTTCGGGAGGTTCAACCGATCAGTTGAGTTTGGTTTTTCTGAAACATGTTTGACGATTATTTTTATTGTTCAAGGTTTCGTGTGTTGATCATGATTTCAATGGTGTTAAAATGTTAAAAACATGTTTTAGACATTGAATAAAGAGCGACTACATTACGTACAGCGGAAATGTATTTTTCTTTGTTGCTTTCGTTCTTGTGTTAGTTCTAGTGTGTTCATTGACGGAAAAGAAACTATTATTTTCGGTTTTATATATTTTGTCGGATTTAGTGGGTGATTGGTTGAGTTGTACCTCTAGATTTATTATTGTAAGATTTTTGTTGTATTTGTGTCGACTATAACTGTATAATTTGTCTTTAATTTAAATTTTATTATTATTTAATAGTTTTTTTTTAGAAATTTGTCTTTTAGTGTAACTACTCATTGATACATTTTTATTGAGGGTTAAATATGATTTCAATTTATAAATGTTAGATTATAAAGTTGCGACTCAAAACTATAAAAAACTAATACTGATTCTTATAATAATAAATTTTATTATACAATTTTTTCTTTCTTTTTAATTGGTTCATGTTGTACAAATAAAAACAGTTCTACGAATAGTTTTAAAATACTTAAGTCCATATAGACCTGCAAAATCGGTTTATCAGGTCCGTTATTTTAGAAACTGAATTTTATGTCGAAAGTAAATGAAATCAACTATGGTTCGGAATTCGGTTTTATACATTTCGTCGAATTGAACCAATAATTTACAATAAAATTCGGTTAATTTCGGGAGGTTCAACCGATCAGTTGAGTCGGGTTTTTCTGAAACATGTTTGACGATTATTTTTTATTGTTCAAGGTTTCGTGGGTTGATCATAATTTAAATGGTGTTAAAATTTTAAAAACATGTTTTAGAAATTTGATGAAGAGACAATACATTATGTACGACGGAAATGTATTTTTGTTTGTTGCTTTCGTTCTCGTGTTAGTCCTGTTGTGTTCATTTACGTAAAAAAAGTTATTTTTTGGTTTCGATACATTTTGTCGAATTGAGTAGGTGATTGGTTGAGTTGTACTTGTACATTTATTGTTGTAAGATTTTTGTTGTATCTGTATTGACTATAGCTGTAGAGTTTTATAAATTTTTTTTTTTTTTTTATTTAATAGTTTTAGTTTAGAAAGTTGTCTTTTAGTGTAACTTTTCGATGATATATTTTTTGTTAAGGGTTCAATAAGATTTTAATTTATAAATGTTTTACTATAAAGTTGCGACTCAAAACAATAAAAGGTTAATAATAAATTTCAAATAATTAATTTTATTCTACATTTTTTTCTTTTTTTTTAACTTGTTCATGTTGTACCAATAAACACAGTTCTAGTAATAGTTTTAAAAATACTTACGTCCATCTAGCCTTGCAAATTTGGTTTACCGGGTCCGTTATTTTTTGAAATTAGATTATATGTCGAAAGTAAGTGAAACCAATTACGGTTCGGAATTCAATTTTAGACATTTTCTCGAATTAAACCGATAATTACAGTAAAAATTCAGGAAGTTCCACCGACCAGTTAAGTCAGGTTTTTCTTTTTATGATTAAATATGAAATTCATTTATATTTGTAAAAGATTATACAGAGAGTTGAAAAGTAAAAGTACAGCTAAAAACAGAGCCTATTAAGAAACAGAGTACAACAGAGTATAACGAAAAATCAGTGGCTATGTCATCTACGTCTCAATTCCGTCCAACGTAGTTGCAGGTCACCAAGCTTCGACGTCGGCGGCGGGTTCAATGAGGAGATGCGGTCCGTAATAGAACAGATGCCGTGTTAGAACTTTGATTGTGGTTCCGGCCATTCCTCTCTTCCATACCATGTAGAGAGTGGTTTGGAAAATCATACATAATAGATTCTGGTCCCGCTTTGTTAGCTGTGGAGACCGGAGGGAAAGCAGTGTTCGTGACCAGTCTGGATTGAGCTTACGCCGGAGAAGACGACTTGTCAATTCGGACCAGATGGAGTAGGTGAAAGGGCAAGCAAAGAAGAGATGGTCTCGGGACTCGTCTCTCTCCCTGCAAAAGACGCAAGGTTGCTCCACACCCCAAGCGCGCATGCGTGTTCCTGTGGAGAGTTGGTCCTTTACCGCTAACCAAACAATGAACGAGTAGCGTGGAACTCTTTGAGGAAACCAGACACTATTGTGCCACAACACCTTATGTTTGGCCTTGCGTAACAGATTCCAAGTGTGACGTGACGTGAAAGATGAATCATAATCATCGAGAGTATATCGCCAAAGTGGTTTATCAGGCCCCTTTGCGCGCTGTGGGGGAGCTATTTCTTGTAGCTTGGTCACTACATTACGCAATGTTTGGCTGCGACAGCGACGCACTCTCCACTGCGTGCCCTGGACTGCGTTTGCTACTGTACTGTGTCTAGCCACATCAAGGGAGACCGGCCCTGTATCTCCTGTGATTGAATGTAGTCAGCCTGGTT